GAGCCCTGGAGAGACCCCCCACGAGCCCTGAGTCCTGGTGAGACCTCCCCCCGAGCACTGGTGGCACCCCTCCCGAGCCCTGGGGAGAACCCCCCTCCCCCCCGGACCTCGAAACAGACATAAAACACAGATGGATACAGTTCTGAAATTATTATTACATCATTCAATGTGTTTTTTTAATGCCGGAATGTGACTTACTTATGAGCGTCTTGTAGTTTGTGTGCAGCAGAGCTTAGACTGGGGGATAGAGAAGCAGTACCGGGAGCCAGTCAGGTGCGCTGCAAAGCAAGGAGGATGCTCATAAGAGTAGAGAGCGGAGAGATGGGCTTATCAGTCTGCTGCTTCTCCTTTTACTGTCCAGTCACAGGGTTGGGGTGAGGAAGGGGACCCATCAGCTGAACGATCTGACCCCCTTCCCTGGTGGACAGGACTGTGCTATGGGGCAAAGCTGTGCATCTTTCAGGACTGGATGGACATCATTTCAAATCTTTTTGGCATGTGAACCGGCTCTCGTGTATTTCATGTGTGTATTTAGCTATTGGTCTGAGGTTCAGCTTTACATGTGTTGGTTTGCCCACGTCGTGTGTGATGATGACAGACGAGGTGGGGGGGGGGGGCAGGGGAGTGTCTTTATTAGCGCAGGACAGCATACTCCAAAAGTATACACGTGCCGCACTCCAATACCCTCCACTCCACTCTGTTTATTTTTTAAAAAAAGTCACATCACCGTTCTCAGCTCCCTGCTGACGCGTTTCACCATCTACGGGGCTTAAGGTGAAACGTGTCAGTAGAGGACGGAGCAACGCACGGAGGTGGAGAGACACAATTTCAGAGACCTAGAGCTGAGCATTGTGTGTGTCCACAGCAGGACAAAATTTGGGGTCTTTTGGCTCGCCTGTCTCTTCTCCGCGCTGCTGTGGTTTGTGCCATAGCAGGGAGTGTGTGTGTCATGTGTTGCTGTATTTGTACGACTCTCATGTGTCGCACGTCATCCAGGAGGGCCCGGCTCCCAGGGGCCCGTTACGTATGTCTCCAGTGATTACTAACCCCAGCAACGCTTTGTGTCTTCCAGAAACACGAGCACGGCCAAGCTCTGCTAGATCTGGTCTTCAGGTTTCTCGATCTCACCGAGAGGGACTATTTTGGATTGCAGTTGGCTGACGATTCCTCGGAGAACCCTGTGAGTCCCGTTCACTCTCCTGTCACCGAAATCCCAAACCACCTTCTGTTAGCTAAAATCGCGGCGGGATATCACTGTGACCCCCCCCCCAAAAGGGAAGACTTGTTCTAGAGTCACAGGCTCCGCCCCTCGCTGCTATGCCCGGTGAGAGGCGATCGATGAAATGCTAATGCCGCATATGGCTCGGCGGTATCGTACTACATCTCCCATCATGCAGTGGGAATTGGCACACCCAGTGGGTATGAATTTGGGTGGGTATGTGGCCGAGCAGAATTGAATGGCCGTGACAGACCAGGAGTCTCCTGACCTCTCATTTAAGATATGATGTCATGGTGGGCGGGTCAGACCAGGAGTCTCCTGACCTCTCATTTAAGATATGATGTCATGGTGGGCGGGGCAGACCAGGAGTCTCCTGACCTCTCATTTAAGATATGATGTCATGGTGGGCGGGGCAGACCAGGAGTCTCCTGACCTCTCATTTAAGATATGATGTCATGGTGGGCGGGGCAAACCAGGACTATCCTGACCTCTCATTTAAGATATGATGTCATGGTGGGCGGGTCAGACCCGGAGTCTCCTGACCTCTCATTTTAGATGTGATGTCATGGTGGGCGGGACAGACCGGGAGTCTCCTGACCGCTCATTAAGGTATGATGTCATGGTGGGCGGGACAGACCGGGACTATCCTGACCGCTCATTAAGGTATGATGTCATGGTGGGCGGGACAGACCGGGACTATCCTGACCGCTCATTAAGGTATGATGTCATGGTGGGCGGGACAGACTGGGACTATCCTGACCTCTCATTAAGGTATGATGTCATGGTGGGCGGGACAGACTGGGACTATCCTGACCTCTCATTAAGGTATGATGTCATGGTGGGCTGTCAGAATTAGACAGAGAGTGGTCGGGAGTCTGAGATGCCGGGGTCCTCCCACTACAGGGAGAGGCGATGTAATACCATTGGTGGGAATGAACTACAATGGGGAAGTGACATAACCGGTGGAAGGAGCGGGCACAGCTACATGGAGTACGTTCGGATCTGTGTCCATTGAGGTTCGTTTGGCCAACTTGAGTCTCACTAGCTGTGTTTTTTCCCCTCAGAGGTGGCTGGACCCAACCAAGCTAATCAGAAAGCAGCTAAAAAGTGAGTGACGACATGTGAGCCTTGTATCTCTGTGTTTTAACCGCTTTGCACACCATTACCAAGTGTTTTTCCTCTTTTAGGGGGGTCTCCGCACGGCCTGAATTTCAGGGTGAAGTTCTTTGTCGCCGACTCCAGCAAGCTGCAGGAGGAATACACCAGGTAGGGAGCGCTTGCTGTGATCAGGAAGAGGAACGTGTGACATTTTTAGGACCCTGCGGGTGGCGGCTCCTGTTTTCTCCTCCTTTTATCTCTTCTTAAAGGGCAACTCCGGGGACGTTGCCCGGAGTGGGGCTGACCCCGCACTTCCACTGCTCACAACTGTTGGCAGCAGCCTGTACAAATCAGTGATCCACCATCCTCCAGACGTACCAACCCAGATGCCGCCCTCCACTGTATTTATTACTGAACCGCAAACAAACTTTATTGATGCCAGGTTAGGTCAGACGGACATTATCTCCCCCGTCAGACATGGCTTTGCCCTGTGACGCATTTCTCCCAGTGGGCTCAATCATAGAAGCTTATTAGCTCCATTAGGCAAAATGCTTCAGGGGGGCGGAGTCACATTGGACAGGGAAAGAGAATGTCTTCCTGATCTAATTTGGCCACAATAAAGCTTGTTGCGGTTCAGCAAAAAAAAAAAATACAGGGGAGTGCAGCTTATGTGTTTTGTATTACTGAGTCTCTTAAAGGAGAACTATGAGGGGGCTGCTTTTCACTCACCCCATAGTTCTAGCCGACCTGTGACAATGAGACTGTCACAGGTCAGCTCAGTAGATCGGGAGGTGAGCGAACACATACCGGCGTTCGCTCACCTCTCAATCCTGTCACGGCCCTCTGCCGTGACAGGGGAGGGGCTGGATACCCCCCAGCGCTGACTGGTGGAAAGGACGGGGGAGGGGGCGGGTACAGCTGGCTCTGCCTCTAGATAGGCGGAGCCAGCTGTCACTCACGCAGCTGGGCGGATCCAGACATAATTGTCGGGATCCGCTTCAGCTGCGGCGTCTCAGTATACCGCGAGCTGTAGCTCTCTATATACTGATCACGCTGGCGCTGTACGCACAGGAGACGTGGGCAGATCCGGGAGAGCTTGGAGAGCGGTGTCTGCCCAGCTGACAGAGGGACTGGTACGGTAATGACTGATGCTAAGGATCTATGTAAGGGGAATTGATTGTCTGCAGGGTGGGGGTCGTGTCGCCATATTAGATTTCTTTGCCCGGCTCGAAACTGATTGGCTGGGAAGCCGGCTTCCAGGCCAAATAGCATGGAGCCAGCTTCCCGACACCATGTTCCATCGCGGCACTGCCGGTCGTAGGAAATATCCCTCTGACCGGAAGTTCCACTATCGGGAAAGGTATGGAAGGATTTGGGCAAGTACGAGTACCGATGCCGATACTAGTATCAGTATCGGTGCATCCCTACTTGCCACCCATTTGAATGAGGCCTAACTTAATTGGGAGCAATGCTTTTCAATGCAGCTATCCATGACTGTAACAGAATCGCTCATCGCAGGACCTCGTATGCATCCCGGACATTGCGAAGGAAAAAAAAAAAATGGCTGTCGGCTCTTTCTTCTAAATCAGAGAATAAGAGGCCCACCAGCTCCATTTCTCTCTGTCACCTGTGCCTAGTGATGGATCCATGTAATGTGGTGGATCGTATCTCGGATAATAACACAACCGTCTGCTTTGTTCGCTGTTCGCTGTTCTGGTCTGCCGCCAGTTTCCTGGTTACAGGATGAATACGTGTTGTCTTCCCCAAGGTCTTATCCCGAACGATGGCACTCTCCGCTGCAGTGTCTCAGGGGAGAATCGTGTGTACAGCTTCATATACTGTATGTCACGGTGCCGGAGCTTCTCATTTGTGTCTGGCGTATTGCGGCTTTCATTGGCCCTGCAGGGGTTCTTAGCGCAGCTTTGGTGCCTATCATTACAGCCGGGAACAGATAAGGATACGAAACTTTAGGTTTAACTTTGAGTCGTCATATCATCATTTTATCTGAGGGGAAAAGCATGCTGCGGATACTTCCTGTGGAAGTGACTTGGCATATTCATTAAAACACTTCGAAATGATCTGCGTCTTACAACCATCTTGTGGGCAATGAGGAAAAATTGCCGGGTGGCTCAGTGGGAGCCTGAGATGGCGTGGGAGGACTCTTTTCTAGTTGCTCCAGTCCAAGCACCCCTGGGTAGTGGGGCACAAAGGACAGAGACGAAGCAGTCCCATAGCTGCTGGTCTTTTCTGCTTGCTCCAGTCCAAGCACCCCTGCTTAGTGGGGCAGAGAGGGCAGCGACGGAGTGCCAGGAGTGCTGGTCTTTTCTGCTTCCTCCAGTCCAAGCACCCCTGCGTAGTGGGGCAGGGATGGAGTGCCATGAGTGCTGGTCTTTTCTAGTTGCTCCAGTCCAAGCACCCCTTGGGTAGTGGGGCAGAGAAGCCAGGGATGGAGTGCCATGAGTGCTGGTCTTTTCTGGTTGCTCCAGTCCAAGCACCCCTGGGTAGTGGGGCAGAGAGGGCAGGGACGAAGAAGTGCCATGAGTGATGGTGGCATTGGTGTCACTGGAGCTTGTGATTGCAGTGGTCTAGTCGCTGTAGGTGCCAGGAGATGCCGGTCACCACTAGTGGGAAGGGTCCAGGAAAAAGCCAGAATCGACAACAGTCAGACAAGATGGTACGAAGTCTGGAACAGGCCGCGGCAGCAACTTGCAGCCAGCTTGGTGCCATAGTGGCAAGCAGTCATCGTAGTCCGCAGACCAGCGGAAGTCAACACAAAAGCAGAACAGAAAACTGAGGAGAGCCACAGAAGAGTCAATGCACATGCCGGGTTGGTAACAGCAGATCTGAATCGCAGGTCACGGTATAGATGAGGAGCAACCTTAAACAGCCCGCTTGGTGCCATTATTCACAGCAAACATGCACGCATGCCCATGCACACCCCGCATGACATGCATATGGACACGTCTGCATAAAGATGAACAAATGCACAATTCTAATAGCAGAACTGTGCGCAGCTACTGAAGCTGAACCTCTGCTATGGGGGCTGGCTTGACATGTCATTCTGATGGGTTGCTGTGAGTTACCGTTCTTTAAACTTTTTATTGATTCCGGCCAATGCCAGACGTTCTCCGACTCCTATCATTGGTTTTCATTTGGTAATATTGATTTTAAAGTGTTATTATGGGCAAAATATGTGATACAGTCTGCCACTGACATTAACATATAAGATGTCTAATGAGAGCACCAGAGCAAAGATCGAACAGTTCCAAATCTTCTAATATTAATGTTTATGCTCAGAAAAAATAAAACAGCCAATGCGTTTTCAGAGGGATCAAAAGTCCCTCCCTTCATCAGGGCTCAGATATTGTTGGCACTGAGAAGGACGCAGAGATGATTGTTGACAGGCTGATAAATGGAATGTTTCCAGGTCCAATGGGACAGTTATACCCGAGTCTTGATGAAGGGGGAGGTGTTTGATCCGCCAAAACATGTTGGGGGTGTTTTCTGTATTCTTGCCATTCACATGGGCATAGGGGGGCATTCAGCGTGAAGAATGCATGTGTTTATGCACCCCGGGGGGAGGCGTTTGGGAGTCACAGGTGTTTGTGTGTTCAATCAGTAGCCAGTACAAATCAGTGACAGGATGAGCGGCCCTGTTCAGGAAACATACACCCCCATCACACTCCTGACTGGATAAAAAAAAAAAAAATTATAGGGTGGGTGCTAAACTGAACGCGGATGCCTCCACAAAATAAGTCCAACAATACCGTGTTTCCCCGAAAATAAGACACAAAAAAAAACACACTAGGCTCAAAAAAAACACACTAGGTCTTATTTTCAGGGTAGGTCTTATTTTTTTTTTTTAATGTACAACAATCCAAAGTTAACGCAAATCCAAATTAAATAATCCAAACTGGCAAATTTAAGAATATGGCGATCAGAGCAATAAGGGGGCTGTACCTTTCCATGAGCAATTTGGTAACCAGAATGAGCGAAGCGCGCTTTCACTATGGATTCCTCACAGGCGGAGTACATTTGGTATCACTCCGCCTGTGACAGGAGCCGGCGCTATAGAGGAAACATCAGCTTATGCGGCTCTGCTCCCTCCGCTGCCGCCTCGCTTCCTCTAGCGCCGGCTTCATTGGCACCGCTGATTTCTCTCCCGCGGCTCTTCAAGTTCCCCCCTTATGCCACCACCGGCCCTGGGAATGGTCACAACTAGATCTTATTTTCGGGGTAGCTCTTATATTTTAGCAGTTCCCAAAAATAGTACTAGGTCTTATTTTCGGGGGAAACAGGGTAGAAGAAGGTGACAAGCACTGACTCCAGCGTGTAAAAGTCAATATTTACTGACTTCAGAGGTGTCACATCATCAAAGCGACGTCATCTGTTTTGCCTGAGGAAGGGACTTTGCTGTTCCGAAACGTCGCTTTGATGATGTGACACCTTTTGAAGTCAATAAACATTGACTTTTACACGCCAGAGTGCCTGTGACCTTCTTGTATTTCAGGATGAGCGGCCCTGGACGCAGACTGTTTGCACCCAGGGCCGCTCATCCATCCCTGTACGGATGTAAGTCTTGGGTCCCCTGGTTTTTGTTGAGAGCAGCATCACCGGAACCACGGTATGAATTCAGTTGACTGGCTTTCTTCAGCCGTGAACTTCTGATCATTCGGACTCAGCGCCCCCCCCCCCCCCCCACCCACCCCCCCCCCCCCCCCCTCCTGTAGCACAGTTTCATTACTGTTGATCGTGCCGATAGATCTGATATATGTTGTTCCCGATCTTCACCGCGTCCCTCTCTTCTTTTTTCAGGTACCTTTATTTTCTGCAGAATAAACAGGACGTTCTCACTGGGAGGTAATTCATCATTGCAGGTTGCAAAATGTTCACAATTCATTATTATTCCAGCCTTGCCTTGTGACAAGTCCTGGAACCTTCCAAGTTCATAGTGGCAAAAAATGTTATGTGCAAATGTATTGTTTTCGGTGGGAAACCTAAAAGAGGATTCCCGTTGTAACCGCTGCTAAAAAAAGAAGTGAAGCGTTACCTTTTTTTGGCTTTGCTTCCCTTTTCGGTTATCAGTCAATTTACTAATGTACACCTGTGACCCAGTGTCACCATCTAGAGGGCTACTGCCCACTATATGCTGAGAGCAGAAGGAGCCCAAATATTTGGTATGCACCAATACTTGTATCTGTATAGGTGCCGATACCGAGTATTTGGGTGAGTACCCGCCCAAATGCTGCGATACTTTACCCCCTCCGCCCCCCACCCCCCCTGGTACCGGAACTTCCTTTCAGAGAGAGATCTCCCTCTGACAGGCAGTGCCGAGGGAGCATGAAACCGTCTTCCTTTCCAATCAGGAAGCCAGGACGGTGTGTCATGACCCGCCTCCCGGCTTCCTAAATGGCTAGGAAGACGGCTTCGTGTGTTGCTAGGCAGCCTGGCTTCCTAAACAATCAGAAAGCCGGGTGGCATGTAATGACGCGCCTCCCGGCTTCCTGATTGGCCAGGAAGCCACGTTGCCTAGGAGCAAGTGAAGCCGGCTTCCTAGTCAGTCAGGAAGCCAGGAGGCGGGTCATGACACACCGTCCTGGCTTCCTGATTGGCTCAGAAGCCAGCATCACTTGTTGGTAAGCAGCCTGGCTTCCTAACTAATTGGGAAGCTGGGCGGCGCCTCATGACTCGCCGTCCGGCTTTCTGATTGGTCGGGAAGCCAGGCAGCCTCTGAAGCCAGTGTGCTTTTGCTAGAACGCCGGCTTCACAGGCAATCAGGAAGCCGGGCGACAGGTCATGATCCGCCGACCGATTTCCTGATAATCGGGGCACAATGCATCGGTACTCAGTATTGTCGAGTACCGAAAAAAAAATATCGGTACTTGGTATTGTTGCATCACTACCAAAAATATTGTCGGGATCCACCTGGCTGCCTGATTGACAGCTGGCTTTGCCTCTCTGTGCCCGCCCCCTCCCCCTCTGTCTATTCCCCCCAATGAGCTCTTGAGGAACAGAAAGGGAATCTCTGCAGGATGCAGAAATTGACAGTCACTGCTCTCTGCAGGGGCAAGACCAGAGGCTAAGCAGTGAGTGGTCACATGATCGCTTAGCTCTCAGTATATAGAACCGCCATCTGACAGCTGAAATGCCCCAAGTATTAGGAAGAGTATATTTTGCTCACCCAAAACTTCCCCTTTAACTACTTAAGTGAATTAACTTCTGTCAGATAGAAGTGGCAAAGTAGAATAAACAAATTCAATCCGCCTTAAAGGCAGCCTAAGGTGCAGCTTTTTAATATCGCAGCACCACTGACGCGTTTTGTCCCCTATTAGGGACTTCATCGTAGGGAAAAGGTTATGGGGTTTCCTCAGGTCTTCCCTCACTGTGTTCTCCTTTTGTCTTTCAGGTTGCCCTGCCCTTACAGTACTGCCACCCTGCTGGCTTCTTACGCAGTTCAATGTAAGCTTCAATACCAGGATGTGTCGTATGAATTCACACATGTGCGATGAACTTCTCCTTGAAGCCCAAAAGAACGCTGTTTTGTAAATCAGTTTAATGAATTTAGTTTAAAGGAGAACTATGAGGTGAGAGCTTTTCACTCACCTCATAGTTCTAGCCGACCTGTGACAATGAGACTGTCACAGGTCGGCTCAGTAGATCGGGAGGTGAGAGAACACATACCGGCGTTCGCTCACCTCCCGATCCTGTCACAGGTCTCTGCCGTGACAGGGGAGGGGCTGGATTCCCCTCTCTCCGATCCGATCCTCCAGCGCTGACTGGCGGGGGCGGGTACAGCTGGCTCTGCCTCTACATAGGCAGAGCCAGCTGTCACTCACGCAGCTGGGCGGATCCAGACATAATTGTCGGGATCCGCTTCAGCTGCGGCGTCACAGTATACCGCGAGCTACAGCAATGGGGAAAAGCCTTAACCCCATAGTTCTCCTTTAAACCGAAAAGGAAAAGTTTGCAAAGTTTTACAGATTGTTTTTGCTGTAAAGCAGACACAGCCAGAATAAATCAGACCGTCCCCTGCCAGCATGCTGTAGAGAACGTTCCTTGCTCTCTGCGAGGAGTCAGTGGTCTCTCTGCAGCAGTCCAGCAACCCCACCTGCAGAGTCAGAGCTACAACCCTCCAGTCTCCACAGAGTGTGAGCTGTAGCTCTGAGTAAGGTCAGTGTTGGACTTCAGCAGATAGACTACTGCTTCCACACAGAGGGCAAGGATCCCTCTCTACAGCATGCTGGCAGGGGGCAGGATGTTCTACTGCGGCTTTTTAGTGATATCCACTGTCACACATTAGTTCCTTCACTATATCCAGGGGATGCCAAACACATTTGCAGATGTACCTTCTTACATTTTGCCTTTTCTTTCCTTGTGCTTCGAGAGCTGTAATCACACGCCAGTGTTAAATTGCATTATTTCCAATCAGTCAGTCTGTCTTCAGTCTGCACTATAACTGCAGACAAGCAGTGAGAATAAGAGAAGCATCATTTAGACATGCCTGTACCTGTGTGATTAAAAGTCTTGACTGCCAAGAGTCATACATTATGGTTTCTCTGCTGCATTGCACTTATGTCATCACTGGAGATCACAAACTGCTAGAATCAGACACTTGAAGATGCAGTCAGAGGAATGTAAACAAAGCAATATTCACACTGACAGAGCTTGTGATAACAGAGTGAAGGAGTAGTAGTGTTTGCCCTGAAAATATTCCATGGACTGGACCTCTTTAACGCGAGCATATAGGTCAGTTCTAGAAGGTGGAAGTTGTCTTTTCCATTGTAATGATATCAAGCATCTTGCTGCAGTTAGTATATGCATGGCCAGTTTTTTATCAGTTTTCGATAATTGTGGAAATGGGAGGCTTAACAAGTAGTGTATAGGAGCTAGGGGAAGTGAGTGACCAGTTAAGTGTTCGAGTGTGTGTTGCACCATTTTCCAAAAAGGCTGTAATATTGGGCAAGACCAAAATATGTGGAATAGAGAACCTATGTCACCGTCACATCTCCAGCAATTCGGGGACGTTGATGGGTATATAGAGTGTAGTATCTCAGGTGTATAGTACCAATGGTATAATATTTTATATAGGTTTTCCCTATATACTGAACATATCGAGGTTTTGGCAGCTGAGCGCCATATAAGTTCCCATTGCTGCGGAGTTACTGCGAACCCTAAGTCTCCATCCCACTTTATCATATATGGTTGATAAGTTAGACCGTCTCGATTGCCATCATTCAATAACCTGTATATGAATGAAATCAGCCCTCTCGAGGATTGATCAGTGGAACACACTACTTCGAATTGCGTTCGCCTAGGGAATACTAGATTGGGCGAAAGAGATTGCATAAAGTGTTTGATTTGTAGGTAAGAGTAGAGAGCGCGTGAGGGGCCCTGAAAATATTAATACTGGTAATGCGAGTCATTATTAGGTGGCAATGCCGTTACACAACTTAAATGTATTAAAATTAAATATTTATATCTACATTATTTGTGATATAGTAATCTGTAGTTTGCTAAGCTGTACTTTTCTGTCCTTTAAGCTGAGCTGGGAGATTACAGCCACTCGGAGCACCTCCCTGGTTACCTCGCTGATTTCTCTTTTATCCCTAACCAACCTCTGGACTTCGAGAAGGAGATCGCCAAACTGCATCAGCAGCACAGGTAGGCTGGTACTGCGGCAGGCAGGTATATTAAAGTGCTTGTTCCTTTGTTAAAGGTGAGAGCGCTCTTAAAGCTGAACTCCGGGAAGAAATGTTATCACTTCTAGAAAGGTATTTCTTACCTTCAGCCGAAATGTTCTTGTCCAGCCTGTGATGAATCACACCATGACTCCTGTGGAATAAGGGCTCGGTATACTGTATTTCCGGTGTGTAAGATCAGGTCGCTACGCCTGATTCTGCCCCAGGTCACTTGTAGTGTAACATCCCCATGTGAAGTTCCTTGTGCAACGAGTGCCAATGTGTTTATGGCACTTCAGGTCTGTCCTGTCCACAAATACAGCGTAGTTTGATTGACAGTCCGGGAGACTCGTGTAGAGTCCTGTCCATCATGACATTGGCTGACAGGCCAAGAGACTTCTGATGTGTCCCATCCACCATGACATAGCACCTGACTGACAGGCCAGGAGACTCCTGATGTGCCCCATCCACCATGACATAGCACCTTGACTGACAGGCTAGGAGACTCCTGATGTGCCCCATCCACCATGACATAGCACCTTGACTGACAGGCTAGGAGACTCCTGATGTGTCCCATCCACCATGACATAGCACCTTGACTGACAGGCCAGGAGACTCCTGATGTGACCCATCCACCATGACATAGCACCTGACTGACAGGCCAGGAGACTCCTGATGTGCCCCATCCACCATGACATAGCACCTTGACTGACAGGCCAGGAGACTCCTGATGTGCCCCATCCGCCATGACATAGCACCTGACTGATAGGCTAGGAGACTCCTGACGTGTCCCATCCACCATGACATAGCACCTGACTGACAGGCCAGGAGACTCCTGATGTGACCCATCCATTGCATGATGGAAATTGTAGTTTGTTCTAGTGGCCCTGCACAGTGAGAGGAAGTGGCGTTGTTGCTTCATTGATTCCTCCTCCAAAGGTCCAAGCACAGCTGCGTTTCTCTCATTAAAGGATGACGTCACAGACTTTAAAAAGGCAATTCACCCCGAAACTGTAAAACAAAAATGATATATATTCACATTTGCCATGTGTATTGGGACAGGAAGTATGGGTCAAAATTAGAAGCCAGCTCGGAGTTCAGCTTTTCAGGGAAGCCATATTTGCCCATTACATAGACAGTCTCTGCTTCCTACTTTGCAGTGCTGCACAATGGTTTGCTTTACTTCTCCTTTGAGGCAGATGTGGGATGTGACTGGCTCAGTGTTCTCTGTACAGCACTGCGGTATATGTCAGAGCTGTTTAAATGTATAATAAGTGTGTGACTGTGGGGGGACATTAGAGTGTAAGCTCCTCTGTACAGAGACTGATGTGACTGTGGGGGGAGGGGACATTAGAGTGTAAGCTTCTCTGTACAGAGACTGATGTGACTGTGGGGGGAGGGGACATTAGAGTGTAGAGTGTAAGCTCCTCTGTACAGAGACTGATGTGACTGTGGGGGGGAGGGGACATTAGAGTGTAAGCTCCTCTGTACAGAGACTGATGTGACTGTGCGGTGGGCATTAGAGTGTAAGCTCCTCTGTACAGAGACTGATGTGACTGTGCGGGGGGCATTAGAGTGTAATCTCCTCTGGACTTCTGGCTCAGAGACTGATGTGAGTGTCTTGGTGTTCTCTGTACAGCGCTGCGGTATATGTCAGAGCTATATAAATGTATAATAATACTGTGTGACCTTGGGGGAGGGGACATTAGAGTGTAAGCTCCTCTGTACAGAGACTGATGTGACTGTGCGGGGGGCATTAGAGTGTAAGCTCCTCTGTACAGAGACTGATGTGACTGTGCGGGGGGCATTAGAGTGTAATCTCCTCTGGTCCTCTGGCGCAGAGACTGATGTGAGTGTCTTGGTGTTCTCTGTACAGCGCTGCGGTATATGTCAGAGCTATATAAATGTATAATAATACTGTGTGACCTTGGGGGAGGGGACATTAGAGTGTAAGCTCCTCTGTACAGAGACTGATGTGACTGGCTCAGTTTTCTCTGTACAGCACTGCGGTATATGTCAGAGCTATATAATGAATACTGATGTAGTGTACGGTGGTAAACGATGATATATTCTTTTTCAGGGGCCTGACTCCTGCAGAAGCTGAATTTAGTTTTCTGAACACCGCTCGCACTTTGGAGCTGTACGGCGTGGAGCTGCACTACGCTCGGGTCAGTGTCTGTGTGTCACACAAGTTGTTCTGGTTTGATCCATCTTGTCGCACACTTTGTGTTGTATTTCCCTCCCGTCACACATTGTTATGTTCTCTATGAAAGACATTTCCATTGTGACGTCACGAGAACGTCCTACGGGCTGCCTTTCATTGCAGGCAGATCCCAGCACAGCGCGGTGCTGATTGCATGTCTAGAGATGACTGATTACCGCACGCAGATTCATTTAATTGCACAATTCATTTGATATGTCGGTGAGTTATGACACGCGCGCACACACATCCGCAGTCATTCGCTGGAGTGGTTTATTAAAGGGACTTCCGCTCCCCACTGATATTCAGCAGACATTGTCATGCGAGTCTCCCATTTCAAAGGCTGACCTTTCCATCGAATGTTTCCCGTCATTAGAAGTGCTTCCTTCCTGCAGCGTGCTCCTATCATTCATTATCGGCCTGCCTGTCCCCCCGCTGATGTAAACAGCTGTACGAGAGCTGACAGAGGTGCGAGGCTCGAGGCTTCGGCCTTTCTCGCTCATATTTGTGATTGGCCCATCGGTTGGCATGCAGGGGAAGGATCTTGAGGGCTTTTATATGAGGATCAGCTCCATCAATTCATTTTGCTTCTCTTTACCAGATTCTTATTACCTCTATCGCTTTATCTCCAGATTTTTAAACTTTGACATGAAAGGTGTCAGTTGTTTTTTTTTTTTAACCCTTAATGACAAACAAAGACACCAAGTCTTAAAGGAGAACTATGAGGTGAGTGAAAATCACTCACCCTCATAGTTGGAGCCGACGTGTGACAATGAAACTGTCACAAGTCGGCTCTACAGATTGGTAAGTGAGCGAACACATACCGTCGCTCGCTCACTTCTCGATCTATCCCTGCAGAGAGCCGTGACTGTCACTCACGGCTCCCTGCATGGATTGCCCCCTCCCCGCTCTGATCTGCCAGCGCTGACTGGCGGAACGGACGGGGGAGGGGGCGGGTACAGCTGGCTCTGCCTCTAGATAGGCAGAGCCAGCTGTCACTCACGCAGCTGGGTGGATCCAGACATAATTGTCGGGATAAGTCCCGGCTGCGACGGTCTCAGTATATGGAGAGCTGTAGCTCGCGGTATACTGAGCTTTTGGTCACTGGAGGACGCTAGTTTGTTTCCTCCCGTGACCCTGGGGAGAACTATGGGGAAAAGCCCTAACCCCATAGTTCTCCTTTTAAAGCCCATCTCCGGACTACCCCCTCACTGCAAGGGTTACGTTTCTGTTCATGCCTTGGGGACTGGAGTAAAACAGATTTACTTACCTGACCCCCCACCCCCGTGGTCAGAACTCTCCCCCTTTCTCCCTTTTTCTCTGGCTGCTCGTCATCCTCAAATCTAATAGAGGTCTGTGGAACCTGAGTTCGCCATAATGACCTCAGCGGTCCTTAGACTGCTGAAGCAGAGGGGAGCAGAGGCTGCAGGGGCTGGTTTAGCAGCCCCGAGGGAGGCGGCAGGAGCGGGGATCAGGTTAGTAAACCTACTTTGTTCTCCAGCCCCTACCTCTGCACTGCAAGGGGTTAAGTGGTATTTTCCACCAGGGGGCAAATAAAGCAGATTTACTCACCTGATCCTCGGTACCGCTGCTAGACCGACCGGTCCCCAGGGCCAGTATCTCATTGGGGGCAGCAGGAGGTTTTTTTGGGGGGGGCGCAGGAGTGTGGGCACAGCATCACAGGTTGCTAAGAGCTTTTAACAACCTGTCACGCTCTGTCCGGCATCCTGCCCGGCTCATTGAAGTCACTGGATGCCAGGCACTGAGCGGGCCTAGCTCCTGGAAACCAGTAAAGTCAATAATGA